TCCTGGCCTTACTACTAGGAGCAAGGACGCTACTAGGGGCTCCTGGCCTTACTACTAGGAGCAAGGACGCTACTAGGGGCTCCTGGCCTCTCTACTAGGAGCAAGGACGCTGCTAGGGGCTCCTGGTCTTACTACCAGGAGCAAGGACGGTACTAGGGGCTCCTGGCCTTACTACTAGGAGCAAGGACGCTGCTAGGGGCTCCTGGCCTTACTACTAGGAGCAAGGACGCTACTAGGGGCTCCTGGCCTTACTACTGGGAGCAAGGACGCTACTAGGGGCTCCTGGCCTTACTACACCAGAACGCTACTAGGAGCTGGAAATCCAGTGAAACAGTTGACCTGAGATTGTACACTTGACCTCAGGGATACCTTGTATGGATTCGCATCTCATTTGCGTTGTGCCATATACTCTCGAACCACTGTCAAAGCAACACTCTTGAATGAAGTGCAAGTGAGTGGCATTCAGCTTGCTCGGAGCGAGCCTCCAAAGCTAGGACCATGCGAGACAGGTTGATCTTGATATGAGCATATTGGCGAACAACTGGTGTGAAAGGCGTGACATCGTAATTGCAAAAGCTGCCCAACCACGTGACGTTATGCAATGAGCCTTGTTCTCAAGCTCCGAAACCCGATCACGCAGTCTATCGCGCTCCTGCAATGTTCAATTCTGTTGTCATGAGATCTGGACAATTCACCAAAGTGCGCAATGCCAGTCAGAAACCAATGACGAGGACCGTCCGTCAGGAGGCCATTCACCTCGATTTCGCTCGAGTCTTGGGGGCCTCAGGAAAACCAATTGACCTCCTCACCGACTCCGGCTGCCCACTGACTGCTCAGGTCGCTGCAGTGATTGGACACAAGTGCTGGCACCTGCTCAACGGCACTGGTCGAAGCCAAAATTTACTTGAGAGAGGGATAGCCTGAGCAACCAAGAGGATGAAAAAGAGCGACCACAATTCTGCCTCTGCACCAACTTCTGAAAGAAGCAGCTGAAGTTCTTTCTGCTGGAGCATCACCTAAATGTATCAGGCAGCTCTGGAAGTGATCTGCTGGAAATTCTCATGATTCCGGAACCTTTTCATGGCATGCTGCAAGCGCGTGTTCTGCCTCTGCAACTGCAGCAAGCCCAAACCTCATTGAAACAGTTCAATCTGATCTCCAGTGTGCATGCACATCATGCACGATTTGAAAGACACACGAGCCACTAGGATTTTTATGGTTTTTCTAGCAAGTATGGTCAGCTCAGCTGAGCTCCCAGACAATTCATCAGAACTCACAAGTGCCTCGCAGCTCCACACTCACTTGCAGACTCGCAAGGAGATGCACGTTTCGTGCACGGCTAGGTGCGTTAGTTCCAAGAAAGCAACTATATATATATACACAATACATATATATTTATATACCTGTCCTTCATGCACCACCTACGGTATCTCGACACTCTACAAGACAATGGATGCCCCTGAAGACCCCTCGTCATCTAGTGAGTGCTGAGATGATCTCCTCATGCCATCTCTTGTCCAACATTGAGCACGTCCATTCCCCTTGGTATGTCCAAACAAATAGACTCAACCCTGAAGGTATTGTGCCCCAACCTCCCCTTATTCCAGTTCACATGTCAACAGGCCTCAGGTGGCAGTTGCCGGCGCAATGCATGGACCTGTTAAGAAGGATCATGAACAAGAAATCTCTAACTGAAACTTGGCTTTTCAGGGTTGGTGCTTCTTCTCAAAATGTATGGCTCAAAAAAAGAGGCACACCTCAAGCCTTTGGTCGGAAAGGAATAAGAATATCAAACACAAAAAAGACTAAAAAGATTGCAGATCCCTTGCTCGAACTTGGTTGAGCTGCACCTTGGTGCCAAGCACCCCCCCTTGAGCTCGGAACCCTCCTGCGCCACTGGGGATCGCTGCGCGCGGCCAAGCAAGTCAAAGAGGCCTGCACGCAGCGATCAATGAAGAAGGGAATGCAAGGCTATCACGAAATCGGAGGGAGAAAAGAACTCTTGCGTCAACTATGGGGACAACTCCACTTCAACGAGAGACATGAAGCTCATGCTCATTTCTCGAGCATGGAAGGACAAGAAGTCAAAAAGTTTTGAAAGGACTACGTACCTGTTAGACACATCTATCTCTTAAGCTTGCGCGAGAGATAAATGCAGCTCATACTTGGCACCGCAACTTTTTGCTTCGATGTGAAAGCTATCAGTCTATCAGTTTTGCGTCTCGTAGCTGGCAACAAGATGGGCTGGTAGTCGTGCTCTTGCACGTATTACCAAAAAGAAATAAGCATTGAAAGCATTCATGACCTTGGCTTGCCAAAGCATCGTGAGGTATGTGAGGTGCCAGAGGAAGGAGAACGAGAGCCTTGTCCCTCACGTGCCAAGAGGTGCTCCGAAACAACTACAAAAATGCACTCCCAATCCACGGGCATCATTCTGGACCACAACGCGGGTCCTTTGAAAACGGTCGACCCATTCTGAGACCCAGACCGCCATCGACCAAAAGTAGAGTTGCGTCCAATCTGTCCTACCGATGCGATCGTGTGAACTGGCTACTAGCCTCCTGGCCTCCAACCTTTGGCCAGAACTTGATCACGACTCCCCATCACGAAAAGCAGAAGTCCATTCATTCCAAAGGAGGGACCCCCAAAATCAAAGCCTCTTTGGGGGACACAAATCAGTCAAACCTAGTGCTGAAGCTTCCGGTTTAAGGAGCCCTCGGCCTGGCGAAGAAGCCCTCGGTGCTCTCTGCCTGGAGCTGCCTCACGTAGAAACTCGTGGGTGCGATGGGTGCGATCGCTGCGAGGAAGCCTCTCGATGTTGAGAACAAAACACGGTAAAAATGAACGAAGCACGGGCATCGAACGGTAAAGTCCCCGAAGGTGTGTTGTTGGCTATGTGAACTTGGATTCCTTCTTAGACCCAGTTTTCTCCTTTGACTTGCAAGTCTCTAGATCCAAGATGCCCTTCAGTTTTCATGTCATGGCCCATGGCGGCTTTAAGGAACAGGTCGGCCTCTTCGAAAACTCGTTTGAGGCACCCGTTCCACTCCAGTCATGTTGCAGTCTGGTACTGAAGCTCCCTTTGGTTGTGAGCTCGCGCAGGACAATGATCACTGTGTCCTTAGAAGCACCCCGACAAAGCTTGGTGGACATTGCTTACAGCACTGGGGAGGGAGGGTGTGTGTGTGTGCGAAAACCAAGGAGTCACTGGGCGTCACGCCAGCTTTGTTTTCTTTCAATTCTGATGTGTTCAGCAGGGGACAAAGCTCTATGATGCTACCCTGTTCAGCGGGGGACTGGAGCCGATTTGCCTATCCAGTCCAACGAAGCTATGGCA